TAAATGTTTCTAAAGGAAATCCTGATTATTTATACAGTGTTTATACAATATTCAGTTTTATTGCCCAGACAATTTTAGACCGTTTTTACTTGAGGTCTTTGGAGAAGGACTTGTCTCTTTCCTTCCTGTGTGCTCTCAAATGATTTTTGTATCAAAAGGCCGTGATTTGGTTGACTGATCAGAAATTATGAATCCTAAACAGGCCTCCACAATGGTAATTTTCACCAAGTGTTTCTAAACCTCACAGCCCTTACATACAGTCCAACATCATTTATTGCTATTATCTCATAATTACCACTATTATTTTAGCATTTAAGTTGTGGCTACCAGATGTCTGAAATTCAGGAGAGAGTCCATGATTTCATCCTTCTCTCACTAACTGATGCTCTTCAACAGAAATGTCTGGGTTTGCAGCATAGCTCATCCATCCCGTTAAAGCCGTTTGGGTGGAATCACAAAACACCCTCCCTTCACTGTCTTTCTGGGGATATATGGGTATTTTGAAGGTGGGAGGGAAGTTTTACTTATTGGATGTTTGTCCTCTCCTCCCACCTTACCCTATAGCTCCTGCCCCTTTCTTAACCTCCAGTTGACAATCTGAGGTGTGCTACATTTGAAAGACCTAGGGAGGACATGGATAAAGTGGAGAGTGTCCAGAAGAGGGCGACCAGTACTGGGAAGAGCCTTGGTCTTATGCCATGTGAGAACTGGTTAAAGGAACTGCGGATGTTTTGCCTAGAGAAGAGAATTTTTGTAGCCTAGAGAAGAAGCCATGCTAGTTGTCTTCAAGTTTTTGAAAGGGATTAGACTTGTTCTGCTTGGCCTCAGATGATAGAACCGGGTGCAATGGCTAGAAGTCGTAAAGAAGGAAATTTAGGCTTGACATGAGAGAAAACTTCCCAAAAGCTAGAATGATCCCAAAATGAAATGGGCCATCAAAGGAAGTGGTAGGTTCCCCCTCGCTAGAGGTTCATAGGGTAATAGATTTAGAACGGAAAGGGACCTTAGGGGCCATTGAGTCCAACTCCGCTATTTGTAAATAAGGAAACTGAGGCACAGAGAAGTTAAAGGAATTGCCCAGGGTCCTATAACAAGTATGTATCTGAGACAGGATTTGAAACCTCAGGGCTTCTGCTTCCCGGTCAAGTGCCACATCTACTAAACCATCTTTAAATAAAGGCTAAATGTCAAATGTTTTGTAATGGGGATCCCTGTAAATGCAAAGATTGGATTAGATGATCCTTGAGAGCCCTTCTTTTTGGGGAAAAATAAGGTGTTTTTTTTTATCAATATATTGTTTTTGTGTAACCTTCATTTCCCAATGTACTCAGCCCCACCCCTACCCCCCAACCAGAGAGCAAACTCATTTAACAAAAAATAGAAAAAGGGAAAAATCCCAATCCATTCATTAAAACTAATCAACATATTGGAAAAAGCTTGACAACATTTGTAGTGTTCCATACCCAGAGCCCCCCTACCTTAGCAAAGAAGGAAGAGATACATTTTCCTAGATCTACTTTGGGGCCAAGCTTGGTCATTATAATTTATAGCATGCAGTTCCACTTAGTTTGTTCCTTTTCATCCCATTCACAGTATCACAGTCATTTTGTATGTGGTTTTATTGGTTCTACGTACTTTAGTGGTGTCAGACTGAAATAGATATAGTGCCACTAAACCATAAATAAGGATCATGCATTTTTACTTAGAAAACTACACGTTTATAGATTTCTTTTCTTTATTAATCCCTGAGGGCCCACATGTTTGACACCTCTGGCTTACTTCACTTCCCATGTGTTACTATAAGTCATCTTATGTTTCTTTATATTTATCTTATTCATTATTTCTTTAAGCACAGTAATAACATTCCATTACATTCATGTGTTACAGCTTTACTAGCCATTCTCTAATCATTGGGTATCAACTTTGTGGCTAGTTCTTTGCTATTATGAAGATATAAAATATAAATATTTATATTTATGTGGGACCTGTTCCCCCATTATTGATCTCCTAAGGGAATGTGCCTAGTAGTGGGGTCTTTGGATAGAAGGGTATGTATGGGAATTTTAGTCATTTTCTTAGCATGGTTCCAAATCGTTTTCCATACAGCTTCACTCATAGGTTGTTTGGGGTTTTTTTTGTATCTGTCTTTCCATAACCCTTCCAATTTCTCCTTGTTGAGTGTTACCATCTTATGTCATCTTTGTTAATTTTTTGAGTGTGAGGTAAAACTGAAGAATTGTTTTGGTTTGCATTTCTCTTATTATTAATGATTTCGAGCATTCTTTTCTATGGTTGTTAAAAGTTTTCAATTCTTTTAAGAAGTGTTTGTTCATATCCTTTGACTACTTATGTCTTGGGGGATGGTTTGCAGTATTAAATATTTCTATGTTGGTTGCCCACATTTTCTGGATATCATACCCTTATAAGAGAGAGATTTGGCTCAAAGATTTTCCACTCAGATGACTGGGGTCCACATTAACTCTGAACTTCTGTGATTCTATGAATATTACCTTTGAATACTATGAGAGTAAATTGTATAAATTAACTTTATTGGAGATTATGTAGGTGAAGTCAGAGCCTCTTAAAGTCAACACCACAATTTTATGTAAAGAATGATTAGGATACTGCTGAGTTTACTGGAGACTGGGTGTGTGTTTGTTAGGGGGTGTTGGTAGCTGGTAAGTTCCTAAAGAATGTTAGGTATTTTTTAATGGAGTGAGGTGATTCCTGCTTTTGGTTAAATTGCATCATTCATTACAGTTTTCAGGGACTGGTCAAGTGACTTCACTTAGATCACTGTTATATTTTAACATTTTAGCCTGATGACTAAATCAGTTTAGACAAAATATGTGCTAGAATTTTCTTCTTTTCTTCATCTCATTTTTTCACATGCCATCTTGCAAAAGTCATCAGCATGGATGAGATCATCTCATCACTGGTGAATATGAGGTATTTTACTTGACTTACTGTATCTTTGACCTAGCCTTGTTACTGATGTTCTCCCATTAACAGAATGATTTAGCTTGATAGTATTCACTGTCCTTCTAACATCATGAGTGCGAGGGATGGTCCTTATTATAGAACACAGCATAGTAACCAGAGTGGGTGACTGGGGCTTTGTCCTAGAGTATCAAAATTTAGAAAATACTTGCAGTCTGTGAACAGCATAGAAAAAAAAATTAGATTAACACCTAGATAGAAAGATTTGCTGAGGGTTTGGAAATGGATTTTATTGGTGCAGGGAACTCCTGGTGAAGAAATTACTTCTTGCGGTGCAGATCAGCACCTGTTTTGAACTTTAAGAGTATATTTTATGCAGCTTGCCCTGAGTCACAAACTTGATATTTATAGCTGTGTTAGAACATGTTAGGGACTAACATGTGTGACTAGCTGTGTGAAACTGGGCAAGTCTCTTAATGCCTGTCTGCCTCAGTTTCCTCAATTGTAAAATGGGGATAATAATAACACCTAACTCCCAGGGTTGTCATGAGGATCAAATAAGAGAATGTAAAGCACTCAGCACAGTGCCTGGCACACAGTAGTTTGCTTAATAAAAGTACACATGTGTTTTAAAAATAGCTGAATGAATGAATAACAAAGCACTTATTAAGCCCCTACAACGTGCCAGGTACTGTGCTAGGCTCTGGGGATACAAAGCAAAAATAAGATCAAGAGTTTCCATTTTAATAGGGAGAGCTGAGGGGCAGCTAGGTGGCGCAGTGGATAGAGCACCAGCCCTGAAGTCAGGAGGACCTGAGTTCAAATCCGGCCTCAGACACATAACACTTACTAGCTGTGTGACCCTGGGCAAGTCACTTAACCCCATTGCCTAGCCAAAAAAAAAAAAGAAAAGAAAAGCTGGGGGAGAGATGGCAAAAACAGGGAAATGGTCAGCAAGAAAGGGAGCTTTGGTCTGGGAAGTTACAGGTTTGTGAGGGTAGCTGTAGGGCAGCTGGTTGTCATGCTCTTTCCAACAGCAATACTAGCATTGATCTGATTATTATTCTTAGAGTAAGAAATGAGAAGTGGAATTGGAAGAGCCATGTGCAGGTGGTAGCAGAGTCTTCAGCAAGATAGTTGGACAGGCCCAGGTTTTTTGGGGAAGGCTTCATATAGCTGGTTAGGTGAATTTGTATTCACTCACCAATTAAGGCAACTCATTTCTAGGCTAGAGTTTCAAAGTTGAATGAATCAGTTCCCCAAAAGAGACAGACAAGATGTGATCTCTGGAGGTTAGGCCTGAACGGTGCTATTCCAAATGGGGAGAAGGGAGTGATCAACAGGGCAGCCAGGGGGCAAAATGGATAGAGTGCTTAGCCTGGAGTCAGGAAGACCTGAGTTCAAATCTAGCTCCAGACACTTGCTAGCTGTGTGACCCTGGGCAAGTCACTTAACCCCAATTGCCTCAAAAAAAATTTACTATGTGTCATTGAGCAAGTCACTTGACCCCAATTGCCTCACCAAAAAGCAAAAACAAAAAAATCAATTTTATGCTCCTTTCATTTTCTTATTGTTCTAAGTGATGTTATTTGGATAACATAATACTCATATAATATGCATATATAACAATAGCTAGCATTTATAGCATTTAAAGTTTTCAAAGTCCTTTACAAATATTATCTCATTTTGATCTTCACAACAACTTTGGGAGGTGGGTGTTTTTATTACCCCTATTTTGTAGATGAGGACACCAAGGCAAATAGAAGTTAAGTGACTTACCCAGGTCACATAGATAGTAAGTTTCTGAGGCAGGATTTTAACTCTTGGCTTCCTGATTCTAAGTCCAGGGCTCTTTCCACCTTGTCACTAGACTCAGGCTTTCTCAAAAAAGATTGTAAGTTCTTTGAGGGTAGGGACTGTCCTTTGCCTCTTTTTGTATCCCCAGAACTTAGTGTACTGCCTGGCACATAGTGGGTACTTACTGTTTATTGATTGATTAATGAATGCAGATTTGCATGTAGTAAAACAAACAAACAAAAAACAAAAACTCTATAGAAATTCTCTTGTTTAAAAAAAAAAGTTCGCTGGTTCAGACTCCTTTTTCAAGGATGTCTCAGCCTCTTTTTCCACATTGCCCCAACTCTTGCTCTGGAAAACAAACAAACAAACAAAACAAAACAGTGCAAATCTTCATCTTTAGCAAATGTTATGATTAATTCACTTTGAAGCATACCTTTGAGAAGTAAGGCAATAAGTCGGGGAGCATCAGGACAGGAAAAGAAGACACAGGTCACTTCCTGTCTGCTCTTGGTTTCCTCACCTGTAAAAGAAGGGGGTTTGGGACTAAGGCGATTTCCCACTCCGTGGTTGTATGCCCGATGGGCCATAGTCAGAAAAAAAAAAAGGCCACATTAGGTGGGCCCCAGCTGAAGCCGCTTTCATAAATCTCAGCTCCCTCTTCCCCCTTCCTTATTTCCTACAGTGCTTTGGCACGAGAGCGTGCCCTTGTTTTCATAGCTGTGTAAGTGTATCCCCAATTAAAAAAAAACTGATATAAATCAATTCTTAATCAAGGCAATTGGAAAAATGATTACACCGTCTGGAAACATTTCTCGGTGTTTTAGATTAATTATGTCTTAGTGCTTGGATCCACTTCAGCAGGTAGAAGAGTTCTCCTGGTTCTCAAGTTAGCTGGGCTTAATTTGTTACACATGATGCCCCTGAAGGGCAGCTTCCAGTGGATCCGATGTGATGTGGTAACTATGACTCAAATCCCAGTTATTTGTTAACAAATTATTGGTGGGGGATGGGGGAATATTTGAGTCTGGAAAAACTCAACTTTGCTTTAAAGGCTTTTGCATTTTCATTCAGCCTAAACTAAGATTTGAGTAATCTTACTTGTTTAATCTCATTATCTACTACCTCTTCCTACTCTAAGCCAATGGTTTTTAATCCCTTTTCATCCTCATCCTCCAGCCCCCTAACACCCTCTCATCTCTCTGCCAGTAAGTTTTGTTTTTTCAGTAGTTTGAGTCCTGTCTGACTCTTCGTGGTCCCGTTTGGGATTTTCTTGGCAAGATAGTTGGAGTGGTTTCCATTTCCTTCTCCAGCTCATTTTACACATGAGGAAACTGAGGCAAACAGGGTTAAGTGACTTGCCCAGAGTCAAACAGCTAGTAAGTGTCTGAGACCAGATTTGAACTTGGGAGATAGTTTTCCTGACTCCAGGCCCAGAACTCTGTCCATTATCCCACAGCGCTACCTGAACCATAAGAAATATATTGTCCCAGGTTTTCTATGTTGTCGAAAAATGGAGAAGAATAATGACATTCAGAGTAGTTTTCCTTATGATGTGTGCATGTGTGTGTGTGTGTGTGTGTGTGTGTGTGTGTGTGCATGTTCTCTCACATTTGCACATGCCCACAAAATTTTTGATACATGGCAGCAGCTTCTGAGCACAAGTGCAGAGAGCAATTACAACTAAGCCATAGGGTATTATTGATTATTAGATGTATGCCAGAAGTGGTATAAAAGAAAGTTTACTGCCAGGACTGGTAGCAAAGTGGTGAGTTGGTCACAGAAGCAACACAAGAATATTGGATTGGGGTCAAAGCGTGTGGATTTGGATGCCAGTTCTGCTGCTTGCTTCCTGTGTGACCTGGCATAAGCCATCTCACCTCTGTGGGCCTCAGTGGCTTTATCTATAAAATGAGGGGATTGGACCAAAAAAAAAAATGAGAAGAGCACCAGATAACGTGCCAAACATGACATAGTTATGGGGAGAATTTTTAACCAAAGCCATGGAATGTATACACATGTTCTGGGAAGAATTTGAGACTTTTAAGAGACATATGAAAAAATTGCTCCAAATTGTTGTAAGAAAAATTGCAAATCAAAACGACTCTGAGGTTTCATCTTGTGCCCAACAAATTGGCAAAGATGACAAAAGATGGGAATAGTCAATATTGGAAGAATTGTTGAGAGACCGGCACACTGCTATCAGTCAATCAATTAATGAACTTTTATGAAGCATCTGCTATGTGCCAGATATTCTGCTAAGCCCTAGGAATACAAAAAGGGGCAAAACCAAAACAAAGTCAATCCTTTCCCTCAAGGATCTTACAATTTAATGGGAAAGACAACATGCAAACAAATACTTACAAAGCAAATTATATACAAGATAAATTGGAAATGATTACAAAGGAAAGGTCCTAGAATTAAGAGGGCTTTGGAAAGGCTTCCAGTAAAAGATAGGATTTTAGTTGGGACTTAAAAGGAAACCGGGGAAGTCAGTAGTGTAGCTGATGAGGGAGAGTGTTCCAGGCCTAGGGGACAGCCAGAGAAAATGCCTGGATCCTAGAGATGAAGTATCTTGTTCCTTGAACAGCCAGGATACTAGTCACAGAATTGAAGAGTGCGTGTTGAGGAGTAAGGTGTAAGAAGATTGGAAAGAGATAGGAGAGAGCTAGGTTATGAAGGGCTTTGAAGGCCAAACAGCATTTTGCATTTGATCTTGGAAGTGATAAGAAAGCACTACAGTTTATGGAGTAAGAGGATGCACTTTAGGAAAATGACTTTGGTGGCTGAATGGATGACATTTTTAGTGGGGAGTGACTTGAAGAAGGCAGAGCCCCCACATGGCTATTCCAGTAGTCCAGGTGTAAAGTGCCAGAGGAAAGAAGGGGGGTTTGAGAGATTTGGCAGAGGTGAGGTCGACAAGTGTGGGCCACAGATTGGAGATGGAGTGGTCAGAGAAAGGGAGGAGTCCAGGATGACTCCTAGATTTCAAGCCTGAGGGACTGGGAGGATAGTGTTGTTTGCTACTGATATGCCATTGGGGGCCTGTATTGTTGCAATACTGTGCTGGTTGGTCTGCCTGTCACAAGGCTCTCTCAATTCCAGTTCATCTACCACCCAGCTATCACAGTGATCTTCCTAAAGCACAAATATCTACCTTATGTTGCTCTTACTCAATAAACTCTCTATCACCTCCAGAAAAAGAAATAATTTGGCATTCAAAGCTTTTTGTAACCTGTCCTTCCTCCCTCCATCTATCTTCCAATCTTCTTACACCTCCTGGCCCCTACATCCCCATGTATTCTTTTTTTTCCCCCAGTGACACTGAGCTCCTTGCTGTTCCTTAAAGAAAATGCTCCATCTCTAGACCCTGGGCATTTTCAGTGGGCATTCCTCAAGCCTGAAATACTTACCCTTTTCATCTTTATCTCCTGGCTGCCTTCAAGTCCAAGGTAAAATCTCACCTTCTATAGGAAGGCTTTCTCAGACCCCCTAAATTCTGGTGCCTTCCCTCTGCTGATTATTTCTAATTTATCCTTTATAGAGCTTGTTTATATGTAGTTGTATTCATTTTCCCTGGTTAGACCCTGGACTTTTGGAGACCTGAGAATGTCCTTTACCTTTCTTTATCTCCCCATTGATTTGCACAAGTTTCTGGCACAAAATAAGTGCTTAATAAATGTTGATTGATTGATTGACCTTTGTTCCAGAGATCTGTTAGGCTTATTCCTAATCAGGTCAATAAAGAAAAGGAAAACCCCATATTCACTCAAACTTTTATAGCAGCACTGGGGAAATCAAAGAACTGGGGAAAAAATAAATGCTCATTAATGGAGAATGGCTAATATAGCTGTAGCATATAAATGCAATGGGACATTGCTGTGCTGTAAGAAATGATGAATAAAATAAATAGAGAGAATGGAGGGATAACTCATGAACTGATGGAAAATGAAGCAGAGCCAGGAAACAGTGTACACAATGAATATGACAATATAAATGGAAAGAACAAGAACAAAACAATTGGAGTTAAATACTGTGAAATTATAAAGTCCGAGCTTGGCCATGAAGAAGACGGAATGCATCTCACTTCTTTGCTGAGGTGGGGGGCTGTGGGCATGGAATACAACCCTATCACTTCCAGGTTGGTTGACTTTGGTAAATTTTTTCCCTTTTTTACTCCTTGTTGTAAGAAGTGACTCTCTGGAAGAAAAAGGAGAGAAGGATATAGTAGGAAATTTAGATAACATAAAAACAAAAGATAGCAATATAATTTTTTTAAATAAGGGGGATTGACTCAGTTCAGAGATTCTTAATCTTTCTGGGGGTCATGTGTACCTTTGACAGTCTGATGAAACCTGTGGAATCCTCAGAATCAAGTTTTTAAATAATTAATGGAAATACTGAAGTTAAAGGTAGTGAAAATTTAATTCAATTTAAATCAATAAACATTTAAGTGCCTAGTATGTGCCAGGTACTGTGCTAAGCACTGAGGATACAAATAAGAAAAGCAAAGATCTGCCCTGCCCTCAAAGAGATTATACTCTAAAGGAGAAGATAATACATACAAAAAGACACTGAAAAACAGGGGTGGGGCCTAAAAAGGGGTACTCAGTGCAGGGACATGCTGTACTGTGCAGATGAAACCAAGCAGAGCTGCTGATGGAAAATGGAGACTTGACATAAAGATATCTTTTTTTTTTCCTATCCAAGGTCGAAACTTGCTGATATCTATTCTGTGCTAATGGGTGTGAATGATGAAATTTGAGAGAGGTGTTACATGGGAGCAAAAAATTCCCTATTTTTGTCCAAGGATTAGCTCCTGTCATGGTTGTAGAGGTTATGGAGTACAGTCAGGCTGAGAAGATAGGGAGAGGAAGTGGATCTGTTACATTAAACTTTCCTTATCTCTTGCCAATCAATCAGATTATTAATAAGCATTTATTAAGTGCCTACTTTGTGTCAGACATTCTGATACAAAGATCTGAAGTGAGAAAGAAAGGGAGATTGTTGACTTTGGAGTAAAAGGATTAATATCTTGGCTCTGAGTACCCTTAGGCAAATCCCTTAGCCTCTCTGGGCTTCTTCAGTTCTTCATTCCTATAATGAAGCCCTATCCCAGTACCCTTTGCACTGGAGTCCTGACCCTATCTTCCTCTCCCTAACACAGTGGGTCACCATCTCACATGTGCCATCATTTTTCAGTTAATCAAATATGTGTTAATGATCTATTGATATATGGTAGGCACAGGGCAATTTTCTCACATTTCCTCAATTCCCTTTTACTGGTATCCTCACTGTACAGACACTCCACTCTTTCCCCTTGTACAAAAGTAACAAAAGAGATCTTCCTTCACAGTGTGACCCCTCCCCCTCTTTTTTGTTCCTAAGTCTCTCTGAATTAGGGTGGGTCAGTAGACTGCTCTAATCCCCCATACCAACATTTATGGATTCTTTTGATAAATTAAAGACCTAAAGTGTTTGTTGCTAAATTAGTCTGAAAAATTCTGCTCTATTGCACAATTCTGCTGTCAATCACTGCAGTAGACTTAAAATTCACTGATTTGGGGGTGTTCCCATGCTCCCCAGCCTGCTGATTCAGGAGACTGAGTGAAGCTGTCAATGTCTGTTGCTTCTTTTAGGAATCTGCAAGTATTTATGGACCTTCAGACCCAGAGGCAGTGTGGAGAGGGCACTGGATTGGCTGTTAGAGAACCTGGAGGTCCTATCTGCTTTGCTACTTTTTGCCAGTGTGAGGACGGGTACTCTCTGGGCCTTAGTTGGGAGGGAGAGGAGACAGTTTCAAGGTCTCCTCTGGGCCTAAGTGTCTTCCAACTCTGGATCCTGTCATGCCACTGGTGGAGGGGAGGGGACACACGTATAGTGGGGAGATTGTTGACTTTGGAGTAAAAGGATTCACATCTTGGCTCTGAGTACCCTTAGGCAAATCCTTTAGCCTCTCTGGGCTTCTTCAGTTATAAAATAAGAAACTGAGGAGGTCCCTTCAAACTCTGAGAACTATGAGATTAAAAGTCCACTTTCCAATCAAAAGACTTCAGTATTTCAGATGGATCTCCGGACCCTTGTTGTTCAGTCATTTGCTGTCATGCCTGACTCTTTGCAACCCTATTTGGGGTTTTCTTGGCAAAGATATGAGAGTGGAACCATTTTGTTCTCTAGCTCATTTTATAGATAGGAAACTGAGGCAAATAGGGTTAAGTGATTTGCTCAAGGTCACACAGCTAGTAAGTGTCTCAGGCCAGCTTTGAACTCAGGAAGAGGAGTCTTTCTAATTCTAGGCTAGACTCTCTATCCACTGTGCCACCTAGCTGGCCCTCCAGATCCATTCTTCCTCTGAATTCCTACTCTGATGCCTCACCTGCCATATAAACACCATGCTGGTATTATGTATACAATGACAAGCCAATTAATCTTTCGACCAACAAGCATTTGTTAACAGTATACTATTTTGAGATCGGCACTGGCAATCCAAAGACAAGAATGAAATAGGAAATTATTTGAGTGTGAACCTAGAGACAGATTATAGAGCAGTTATCAAAGGCCGGTCTTGGTAACTTCACAAAGGCTTATCAGAATGGTCAGGCTTTCAGTCACAGCAACTCTGGCTGACCATCTACTAAATTGTAAAAGGCTTGTGGTCTGTATCTTTGGATGGAACACCCATAATGATGAACTCACAGATTCTCAAAATAGTCACTGAATTTCAGAATTGGAAGGGACCTTTGTGGCCATGTGGTCCAACCCATACCTAGAAAAAGAGTCCTCACTACTATATACCTGACATCCATCCAATTGAAGTTATATAGTGTTTTATATAGTTCATAGTATAGTATAGTATAGTATAGTATAACTCTAGTTGCATAGTATATATAGCTATATATGTATATATATATAAAACATATATAACTTCATATAGTTATATAGTACTTTAAAGTTTGCAAAGCACTTTATTTAGGTTATCTCATTTGATCTTTACAACCCAGTGAAGTAGGTGCTATTATTATTCCCATTTTACTGATGAGGAAACTGAGGCTGAGAAGTCAAGTGAAGAGGAAACACAACTAGAAGGTGTCTGAGGTAGGATTCAAACTGAGGTCTTCCTAACTCTAAGTTCAGTACTCTATCCACTGCCCCACCTAATATTCTACAGTTTGCTTAGCCCAGTCCTAAATTACATTCTTCTTGTCACATGGAAGGGCAAAGAGAGAATGTTGCCTTAGGTGAGAGCTTATGTTAGAGAATTTTGAAGCAGACAGGCAAACAAGTAAAAAAAAAAGATATCAAATTCTAAAGGGCAGTTACTCTACCTTCTATCACCTGCTCCTGATTGATTGGTCAGATTGGGGGACTTTAATTCCTAAGGTCAAAAAAGCCCACATAGAACAAGAGGGAATGTCTTAAGTCAACAACAAGATAAAAGGAACGATGAAACAGGCTAAACAAATTTTGGCTTGAGGTAAGAAGAGAAAACAAAACTTTCCTAACCATTAGAGCTATTTATAATGGAAATAGGTGATCTTCCGAGGTTGTAGAGCCAGTCCTGCCTCCCTGAACATCTTCAAACCAAAGTTGGGTGACCATATTTGGGAATACCATAAAAAGAAATCTTATTCAGGTGAAATTTAGTCGAGATGGTCATTGAGGTTCTTTCAGTCTCTCCTGTTTTGATTCTTATGTTGGGAAACTTTTTCTAGGGCCAACTGGCTGTTAGTAACAGTTTCCAATGAAAAGGTTGGGCTGGTGAAGAACTCTCCAGATTGCCCAGAATCGAACAGATTGGATGGGGATGGAATTAGCTGCCTGATTCCTTCTCCTTTCCTATTCCCTACCCTTCCCAACCCATGTGGAGTCTGCCATATTAATAATAACTTATTATCTGTGTGACAGTGCAGTGAAAGGATGATAAAATGGATATTAAAAACACGTGCCAAAGAAGCTTCTTTTATTAATAAGCGTGTGAGCTTTGCGTGTGGAGTTTTACCATGTGTATTTAGCCCCTTTACATATCCTTCCTCTTACTGCTTCCATTCCACTGCCTCCATTTTTTCCTAAGTTGGTATTTCTGTAAGTTCTCATCAGAATCTAAGATCAACAGATTATCCCGTCCAATTGCCGATCCCATTTTATGGATGATGAAACTGAGACTCAGAGAGGTCAAGTGGGTTTCCAAAGCCATGCTGCTAACTGAAATGCCAGAAAGCTGGAACCTATGTCTTTTAACATTCTAGTTTGATCATGATTCTAGTATGGAATGGTGGATAGGACAGTGGACCCAGATTAAGGAGGGACTTGGTGTCAGAAATAATCCCCTTGGACACTGAGTAGTCACTTAACCCTATTTGCCTCAGTTTCCTCATCTGTCAAATGAGCTGGAGAGGGAAATGGCAAACCACTCCAGTGTCTCTTCCAGGAAACCCCCAAATGAGGTAATT